GTCCTCTGCCCGGCCCCAGATATTGCTCCAGCCACTGCGATCCCCTCAATCTGCTTCACCTGGCAAGATATTAAAGTGGATCTGGTGCATGCCGGCAGCTCCCGCTGTAGCATGGAGACTTTACTCTTGGAGGCCTTGAGCTCGTAGCCAGGAGGACGCACTGGCTGACTATCCCCTGTTCTTTCACAGTCTGCAGCTTGAGGTGCAGGTTCCCCTAAACCCCTGCACTTATCTCCTTGAAACTTGGCATGCTTCGTAGCCTCAGCAGGGGCTACCACCCCTGCAGTTTTCACCCCACTGTGTTGTAACACGTAGACATGACATGAGTTTTGCTTTCAAGAATTTGGGGTGCAGTTCCCCCCGAATCCCTGCACCAATCTTCTTGAAACTTGGGCTTCATGCTCTCAGCAGAGGCTACCACCCCTGCAAATTTCATACAAATCAGACAAAAAATATCAAAGTTATAGATATTTCATTGATTCCTCGTTATACCTTATGGCCAGAGCTCCGAAGCGGCTCCAAAGCGGCTCCGAAGCTCTTCGGAAGTTCTGAATTGCTTCAGAAAGCCTAACGAAGCCAGTGCTTCGATCTGGACAGGCTGCTTCGGATGCCAAAGTGTCCAAAGCTTCTCCGGATCCAAAGCACAGTCTGAAGCCACACACAGCCCTACCTTCTAGTTACTGTTGTGTAGGAAGGAATGAATATTTTGCATTTTGACTGCATACACTGCAGATTTTAAAACTCTACAAGAGTCAGTTGCTTATTTTGGAGCAACTGATCTGTCGCCACAGTTTCCCAGAAGACAGGTAGTTGGGAGTTGTTTCATTTCACAAGAAAACTATTTAAAGGGAAAAAAATAAGACGTGCCATTGTCTTGAAAAGAGCTTATCTTTGTCAAATGAACAATTTAGTTTTAAAAAAAGCAGACTTTCTATTTAATATATTGAAAAGCATTTGCTTTTTCCTGAATACCAACAGCTTCCAGCATTCTTTTTGATGTTCAGCTTACAGTTTCAAATGACATTTCTTGAAAACTGTGTTGTTGAAGAGTGGGTGCCACCTGGGAATGCTTTCTTAAAATAGTAGCTTTTTCCCTTTAAAATGAGTAGTTTCTTTTCATCTGTGCCTGTCTTATGTAACTGTGTACAATTGTATTCTTCAGTTTTCCAATTTCCACTGCATGTTTTTCAGGCTAATTTAAAATTTCAGAAACATACATTTATAAACTTCCCTTTTTATTGTGGTTTGGTTTGAGATGATTTTCTTAATATAACCCATTAGTTAACTATAATTTATATGCGTTGAAACTTCATTGCTATATAATCAATTAATAGTACTATTGATACTACTTCCTTTCACACTGTACTCATTCTTGTTTATTATAGAAAGTCCATATTCTTAATGCTGTTCATTCATACAATAATATTAAAATTCACAATCATTAAGAATGGAAAATAGAACAGACTTAACTCTTTCAAATTAAAGATTCATTTAGATTTTATTTAAAAATAAGATAATTTAATATTTTTAAATGGTATTACTGTTTGACAGGTATTCCTTGAACCCTGTTCCCAAGTCCTGTCCTGTCAGCAAGTAGAAGTGGAGCCCCTCTCTGCAGATGATTGGGAAATACTGGTAATAAGCAGTTTAAATTGCTCATATTTTTATGATTCACAATCCACTGACCTGCTGTTTTTCTCCTCAAGATGTCATTTTTCTAAGTGTAGTGGTGTTAGATCGCTGAGCTACCAATGCAATGCTGTGGCTGGCAAAGCAAACCAAATATCTGGCATGCATCCACCAATGCATCTCAAGCAAAACAAGGGGCGTCATCATCCTGAATAAACTCCCCCAGAGATAGTACAAGCACCTACTCTGGATTCATTCAAAAGGTGTTTAGGTGTTTATCTTGCTGGTATCATTTGACCCCAACAGACTTCCTGCTTATGGCGGTGCAAGGGGCTGGACTCAGTGATCTTGCAAGGTCCCTTCCAGCCCCTAATGCCTATGTCTATGTAGACTGTATCTGGGTAATTCAGATTTGACCTTCTAAAAGCACATAACAGCATCTTAAATACAAGGTATAACATAGAGTATATGATTTCTAATAATGTAAAATTGTCTTAGGAGCTGCATGCTTCCTCTCTTGAAAGGCATCTTCTTGACCAGATTCGGATAGTATTTCCAAAAGCTGTCTTTCCGGTGTGGGTTGAGCAACACACCCATATTTACATCCAAATCAGTAAGTGGCAACAGGAGCATTTTGGACAATAATACCAAGGGGTTTGTTTTTTGGGTTGGGGGGTTTTTTTGGTTAGACTGGATAAACTTATATAAACACATGTGCTTATATCCAGGTACACTAAAGCCAGCTGCTCCCTATGGGAGATTAGAACCTCACACAAAGCTGCTTGTATGTTCAAAAATGCGCCAAGATGAAGAAAACATCACCAATTTGTCTTCGTCAGGAAGTGACATTTTACCAGAACTATTTATCAAAAGTAAAATGGACCAACGAGAAAAAATAACGGAACCTCTTGCCAAACAATCTAGTTTAAATCCAGGAGTCCTTGAACAGTGTACATCTGATACAAAAGTGGCAAGTATATGGGGTTTAATAAGAAACATTTTCTCTCCGACTTTGGAACACAAGCAAGACACTTCCTCTGGTACTTTTGAGATAAGCACCTTGAAAGAAAAGCTATTGAACTTAATCCATATGGATGCCATTTTCAGAGTATGTCAGTCCCAGCCTCCCAGCCAACAGAACACATCAGCATTTCAAAAACACAATGCTGTTCATGTTTTTCCATGGAATCTAGAGTATATTGAGTTAGAGCCTAATTTTAAAGTATCTTATGGGACGATTACTGCACTTCTCTCCCCCAGACAAAGGTGTCAAGAAGCAAAGCAGAATCTGCCAGTGGAGAAGCAAAAGCAGATGACCAGCCCACAAGACAGAAACCCACCTGGTTCTAGTAACAGTCAAGAATCCAATGAGATTTCTGTTGTTTCGATAATATGGACTGGTTTTGAAGACCTAAAGGATCCCATAAAATATAACAGCAATGTGGAAGCCATGCATGTTGGAAGAGTTTGGGTTAGTTTGAGCACAATATGTTTGGATTTTTTTATTAGATACTTTTGAGATCGCTTAATTAGTATATTATTTAGTTGTGTTGATTATGAGTTACTTTTTAAGTAAGATAGAAAAGTAAAGACCAATACAGTGTACCCACTGTACCTATTCTTTGCCAACCTTTGCTTTTTTTGAGCAACTTGCTCCTTTCAGTAGCCCTCTAACATGGAGGATCCATAACATAGGACACGTCTCCCATCTTTTGTTTTTGCAGCAAAGATGAAAAAGTTCTTTAACATGTATCTTAAAAATGAGGGAACCTGAAGATATCTATGTGTACATACCTGTTACCCTTGCTGGAGAGCATGTGTTGGCCTCTAGCCTTCAACAGATGTTTCACAGCAATACATGAAGTGTGCCATTACTTTTAGAAATGTTTTTATACCTTGTATAAAAATATATATATTTTTAATGTTTATTAACAACTGAATATTAAAAATGAGACCACAGTTAAAAAGCTAAAGGTCTTATTAGGACATCTCCATCTAGAAATGCTGTTTTGAAAGGTGCCACAAGTCTTGGTTGTCTAACAGCTCAACTGTTGGCTTCTCTTGCTTCCCTGGAAGCAGCTGCTGGATCAGGAAAAATGGAATAAGAGCTTAAAAAGTCACTTTTTCAATGTTTTAACACAGTAGTGTCTAAATTCACTGTTCCTGCTAATCCACCGTCCATTTCAGTGGGAATGAGAGCTGTTGCCAGCAGCAAAGTCATTTCAGCTATCTCAGAGGCTTCAGTTTTGGATGCCAGCTGGGAATTGCAAGTGCAGCTTTCCAAATAGCAGCAGCTGCTTGGCTCTGATAGACTAATATCCATTCCAACATGTTTCAGTTTAGAAACTCAACAAAATGAAAATAAAGTATCTAAAGACTATTTTTATTGAAAACGGGAGCAAATGGATTCAAGTGTTGGGGAAAAATCAGTTCTGTCCATAATTGATGTAGCCCTGTTTCACTCTGAGCAGTTTACCTCTCTACACCTTGGTTTTCTAATTTGTAAACTGAGGTTAGTGATACTTACCCTCCATAGTAAAGCTCATTGTGACCAATGCTGGTGCTATATAAAAGCTAAATAGTGGTATGAAATATTTTATTATACTAAAAAAGCACACATTCTTACTTCTCAGAGCCCCTCTACTTCTTCATAATTAAACAATAAATTGAATCATTTAACTGCCATTTCAAGCACAAAACTTGACTTCTTAAATTTAAAAGTAGGGGTGCACCAATATATCGTTCAGATATCAGATCAGCACTGATAACAGGAAAATTAATATTATCCGCAATCAGCTTTTGGCTGATAATGACACTGATAAATGCTGCATGCATGCGCAAAGCCACAGTATCCACACAGCTTGGAGAGCAGCATCCTGGCAGTAAGTTTGTGGGGGGAAGGAGCGTGGAGGAAGGGCATGGGGTGGCAGATCAAGGCCCCCATAGTGAGGGAGGGATGGGGCAGGGGCAGGCACTGCCCAGCTGGGGTGGTAAATGGGACCCTGGGTCCGGGTGCATGACAAAGCCATGGGTAGCTCATTTAGGGGTGGGAGGGCGGCTTCCTACCACTGTGCACACCCCTGGGGAAGGCATGATGGGGCATGTGCTCCCTGCCAAATTTGTGTGTGGGGTGAGAGTGGGCTGCAGGCTCGGTGCCAGGGGCTGCGCCAGCATCTTCCTGGTGGGGGAACTGGGCCAGGGTTGCTCAACTGCATGGGACAGACAATGGTGGCAGTGCTGAAAGGGGTGGCTATGGGGAGGCTACAGGAAATTTTGGGGTGGCTAAAACCCTCCCACTAGCACCATCCCTGTTCAGGGCATTCCACTCTGCTGCCTTTCTCTCGGGAGCTAGGTGCTGCAGGGTGGGCAGGGACGTACGAAGGGTGGAGTGCCCTGAGCAGGGGTGGCACTGGAGTGGCTATAGCCACCCCCAAATTCCCCATAGCTACCCCTCTTATGCCCCCCATGCATCTTCCGGAGTTCCATGTAGCGGCAGGGAGCCAACACCCCTCTCTGCCCTCCGCTTTCACTACCCACAGCTCTTGTCCTGTTCTCCGCCTTGCAGTCCCATTCACTGCCCTGGCTGGGCAGCCACTCTCTTCCTCACCATGGGGGCCTCAGTCTGCCCCCCTCCACACACACCCCTTCTACCCCAACAGACTTACCAGCAGGATGCTGCACTTCACGCTGCTCGGCTTCATTCCTGTAAATCAGTTATCAGATCAGTATTGGCCAATATGGCAAGTTAATAAATGGCTGTTGGTATTGGCCAAGAAAATCTTTATTGGTGCACCCTTATTTAAAAGAATATGTGCTGGATTTTTAAGGTGTTTAAACTTTACCAGATAGTGATATTTTCATTACTAAAATCAGATGACTTCTGTAATGCTGCTATCTATAATCTAGCCCAAGTCAGTTGCCAAATGCAATACAACTGGCTGAGACAGTCATATGATTTTTAGTATTTAACAAAGAGAATCTTTAACAAATGGTTATTAGAACTGCAGAAATTTTGAGAAATAAGTACACTTTCCAGAGTTAAATTGTAATAAATCAGGAAGGGATTTCTCATTTCAAATGTTTTTTTGTTTGTGTCTAAACACATTATAATACATTAACAAGGTCTAACCATTTGTACAAGGACAAAGGAGTAAATTAAGGAGAAGAGAGTAGGAGGGAAAGAGGTTTCAATACTACTTTGAGTTCAATTATTTCCTTTTTAGTTCTGTTGCAGATTAAAACCATAAATTAGGTCAGGCTGATGATCATACGCAAAAATGCTGTCAGTGATGAAACAACTACCAGGTGAAGCCACTTGTGCCCTGTTATAATCAAATCGTCTTCTGACCATTTCTTTTCTGTTTATTTTTTTCTTTTACATACTTACATTTCAGATTCCAGATGGCCTGAGAAAGAAACTGCACATAGAAATGCACGCGTCTGTCAGAATTAAGTCACTGGAGTCATTCCCTAAAATTCCAGCATCTCTTAGATTGCAGCCCACGCAGAACCTAGTGCGTTGGTATTCTCAGTCATTTTGCATGCATTTTAAACAGGTGGATTTACTGTGGTTAAAATTTATCAGTGTTGATGTTTACTATTTGTCAGGTGGTGGTTTGGGAACTTCATCTCACATAAGACTAATACCTGAAATATACATCATTTTAATACAATTTTTCTCTCCAATAATTACTGTATTTACTTGAATCTAAGAAACTTGAATTTAAGACAGCCCCCCAATAATTAGATTCTGTATATAGGAAAATTATATGTTTTCCAGGTATAGAATCTGATTATTAGGGGTCATCTTAAATTCATCCCTCACCACTGCTACAGCAAGGAAAGCAGTGTCTGGGGAGGGGTATCAGGTGGCTGGGGGGTCAGGCAGCCCCCTTACCCTCTTGAGTAAATATGGTATTATTGTTCAAAGTTATATCTAAATTAGTGAGGCACCATAGTAGTGTGGTAATAGTCTGCCATCTACTAAGATGAGACTTTACACAAGAGTATTACTTTGTATTTCTCTGTCACCTTTCAGTTGCGGGGCTGTATATATAGCCTTACTATCTGGATTCTAGATGTGCTAGTAGGTTGACTACTAATAAGAAGTGACAGACAAGTCTCAAGCCTAACCTTTTCTTGTTTACCTGCCTGTAATGCAAGGATACATGTTTATCCTGATACTGAGACGGCACAATAGAGATTCTCCCCTATACTACCTAGTGAGGCTTCTCTGACGCATTTTGTTATATCAGTCACTACTAATATCATAATATTTTATAGAGCAAAAATCATAATATTTTATAGAGTCATAGAAAGGTAAGGCCAGAAAGGAGCTCGTTTAGTCCAATTCCCTGCTTAAGGTAGGATCATCCTTTACACAATCCCAGTCAAATAGACACATAAACAACTTTTTCAGGAACTTGAGCAGGATGGAATTGCATCAAGCTTAGGATCTAAGTCCATTCAGGCACCGATCTGGCCTTCTGTGTCTCTTTTTCATATTTGTGCAATAAGAATAATAGTACTCACTACCTCATAGGGTGTTCTCAGGATAAATATGTTACAGATTTCAGGTCGGAATAGATGATGTCTCTTCCAGTTGTATGATCACGTCTATGATGGTGAAGGACTCAGTTATGCCTATAGGAGCTATATATAACCGACCAGGCCATTTACCACAGACAGGCTATAGGAAACCATGGGGTTTGTTGGCAGGATGTAGGGTTATAAATGAGCGTCTTCCACCTCTCAGCTACAAATTCCACTTGTGCTAAATGAGTATCATTAGGAAGGGGACAGACTTGGCTGATTTTTGTTTTCCCTTTTTTTGTGTGTGTGTGTAGCATAAAGATATACATGAAGATGACATAAAATCAGCTTTTAACTCCTGGTTGCAGGATTACACTGGTGACAATTTTCCCTGGATGATAACAGGTTCAGACTGCATACAGCTAGGAGTTAAAGAAAGTAAGGAAAACAATATCCTCTGTTGTGGTTTTATTGCCTTATATCTCCTTATACAATCTCCCTAGGCAATTTTTTTCTCTTTAAAAAGATAATCTATGTAGAGTTGGATGTAACAGATGGTTTCTTCCATTTAAATTGTAGATGTGAATTTCTCTTTAACAGTGGGGAAAGAAGTAGGGCCTGGTGACACCTTAGATGCATTCAAAAAGCCCAAGGCAGAATTGATCCAAGTTATGCAGTTTTATGTAAGCAGCATAATTTAGATGGGTACAGAACACACATTCATCCTTTGGTGGGGAGTGCAAATCTTGGACCAGGTTCCACTATTTTTAAACCAGTCTGTGTATCCAAACTTCTGTCCTGTTACAGGTATAGACTGGTGTCCAATCACTTACACTTAAAAGTGTAATGTGTGTACCTGGCCTTAGAGACTAACTGGTTCAGAAAAGGATGAGGTTTTGTAGGGAACAACCTATTTCAGCAGATACTAACATCTGAGAAAGTAGGTTGCTGCTTACAAAGGCTCATGCCTGTGAAGTTAGTCTTCAAGGTGATACCTTGGTCTACCTTTTGCTTAACTTCAGACAAAACAGTTGACCACTTCTCTTTAACTGCAATGATCTTACTTTAATCCTTTCTTATTTTTTTAAACAATTAATTCCACATTATATTTTGAAAGTACATTACTGTGTCTTTTCTTGCACTAAATAAAATTATAGTTAATTTGGAATCATGACAGTTGTTCAGTGTATTTCCACAGGAATGGAGAATTTTGTCCTTAGTGTACTTCAGCCTTCTGTCACTGAAGAAAATAAATCAGAAAATATTTTTATGTTGAGTCCCAGTTTGCTGCAGAAGACAAATATACAAGTAAATATCACATAATATCAGGTATCAAAAGTAATTTAAATTCTGTTACATTTTGTTAAAGAAATAATTCACTATGTACAGTACATTTTACTTTCAGTTATTAAATAAGGTTAGAGAGTCTGTGTTCACCACCTTATATATGCTTATCAAGCATATTAGAGCATGAGGCATTGCTAACATCCCATGCACTACATGATAGTCGGGACCTCCTGTACATTCTACAGCCTACCACTATACATTCTTTTATACATTGCTACATTCTATAGCAGTGTCTATGAATATTGTAGTTGGTGATCAAACTCCCAGTACAACCAAGAGAGGCAGAGATAAGCCAGCACTGAGCGACTGTGAAAACACTGCACTTTAATGTTTAGTGCCTTTAAATACCTGTTTCATCTGTCTGCTCTTTTCCTTGGTATAAAACAGGGGCAGGCAGTTATTTCAGGCGGAGGGCCACTTACTAAGTTTTGGCAAGCCATTGAGGGCCGCATGACAGGCAGCCAGGGGCAGATAAATATTAATTTTCTAAATTTTTTTAGGGGCCCTGCCGGCCAGATAGAATGGCCTGGCGGGCTGCATCTGGCCCCCAGGCCACATTTTGCCCACCCCGGTATAAAAGCTACTGTACTGCTGAAATCATGTGGAATGTGTGGGAGGTGGTAATAACTTATTCCATGTAATAAAAGGGTTACTTTCCATCCAGACCAACCCTTGCACATACTACTTTATCAGTCTTTGAACAGCTTGTGTGTTCTTTGTCCATTCCTTACGCCCTCATTTCTCCAGTATCTTCAATTTTGGCAAGCATTCCCATGCCTTAGTTCTGATAAATTTGTGCTTGTATTTTCCATATTAACATCCACCTCTGTTGCTGAATGGTGACAACAGAGAAGAAAATTGTGCCATTTAATTGTTTAAACTATAGGAGCTCTGCAAAGCTGAAAGATTTCTGTGCAATAAACTTTAAAAAGAAGTTTCCCTTTATCACTGTTGCCACATGTCAATATTAGAATATTTGGCAAAAGTCGCACAAAGGGCACATCTACATGTTGCCCAATGGCAACGTAGCGATATGCTACATATCCGTATGGCATGCTACAGGGGCACACTCCCTGGATATAGTATGCTGCAATATGTAGATTCCATATACAGAATCTAATTTATCCATGCGCTGTACACACGGTGCAGTAAGCATCCATACTACACCATGCTTTAGTACTTCCAAAAGGAAGTACTAAAGCATCATGGCATTTAGATGCACCCAGAGGACACAAGCACTGATACCCATATGGTACTAGCACCTCCATTTAAGAACTGGGTCGCTAACTGGGAAATGATTACGCCCTTCATCTGATATTTTATCAAAACATCTGAGTTTTTCATTCAAGTTTAGTTTAATCAGACAAAATTTTCCTCAAATTCTGAGGAATTTGTTCCTTTCTCTTATAAATAGGTATTTGAGTTTTTAAAAATGACTGTTTCTTATTGTAGGTTCTGTTATGTCCTGTGACTACAAAAGCTGCCGATGACAGGACCCACTGTATGCATGATACAGACAAGATCCTTCGTTTGCACAAACTATGCAGTTTAGGGTGAGACATTTTGACAGTAAAATATGGAAAGAAAATGGATTAAGAACTAAAGTTAGTTGGATATAAAATGCACAACTTCTTTTAAAAATAACAAAACCAAACCAGCTCAACAATTCTTTAACTGCAAAACACAATTTGAGCCAATTAATTCCACGTCATTATTATTCCAAGTTAATTTAAGGCAGGGGTGTCAAACTCACTGGGGGCCTCCTTGCAGGCTGGATACAGCCTAGGACACAGGGGTGGCCTCGATGGCCACAGTGGAAGCAGTGAAGGGTCCTGAGGCAGTGAGAGGTAACCACTGATTTGTTAAGAATGTTAGGAAATAAACCCAGGAGTCAGGCTACCGAGCAATGAAACTTGGAACTTCTCTTGCCCCTTATGAAAAACTACCTTAAGCTGGTGAAGTAATGATGCTGCAACTGTATCTTGTAATGCTGGCTGTCCTCTTTTTAGTTGCATTGTGTCCTTGTATGAAGCCTATCACTGTGATATCTGAATGTTGTATGTAGGGACCTACCCAAGCCAAGGAGGCATATGGGCAATTTCACGGGCTGATTGTGAAGCCAGATGCCATTTTTATGGGTTTATCATGGCGCCTCTCTCTCCCCTCCACGCCAGTTGCTGGCCTTGTGATCTCCACCCCTCATTGCTGATTGGCAGAGAGGGGCAAGGCCACATAAAAGGCAACCCTCTCCACCAATCAGTAGCAGAGGTAGGAGGATGCAGCTGCCATCTTGGTGGCTCCACTTCATGCTGGTGATTTCGCCCTATCAGTGGGCTGTGAGGCCAGGCCACAGTAGCCATTGGCTCCCACCAGGAAATCAGCATTTTATTTTTATTAATTTTTTGTCTTCCTCCTCCCTCCCTCCCCCACCCTGGCAGTTAAGTGGAAAATCGTGAAAACATGGTTTTTCATGGTTTGTGTGAAAATCACAAAATCATGATTTGAGTAGGTCTGAAGTCATATGTAAATAAGTTTTCAAAAACCTTGCTTTTCACATTTGTAAATATAGCTTTTAATCCTGTGTGCAACTCTTGTTGGATTAACTAGATCAAAGGATATTTGGCCTTCATGAAAGATTAAATTGCAAATTACAAAGGGTCCAGAAGTGGCATGGGAAGGTGGCAGTGGTGAGCTGAGCTCACTGCTGATGGCCAAAACCAGTGAGGCCAAAGGATTACAAATTCTGACAGAAATTCCTCACCCAACTTCTGGTGGCCTGACCAAAAGGTGGCCCCCAGTGGGCCACATAAAGTGGCTCTGCAGGCCGAATCCAGCCTGAAGGCCATATGTTTGAAATCCCTGGGCTCCTATATACATGCAGAGAGCCTGCTCCAATGTGCTGTAAATCCAGTTTGTCAGAGCAAACTCAATCCAGTGTGCTGGAGCATGGAAATTAATGTGCTGCAGCAGCCTCCAGTGTCACATGTATCAGCATATCCACACTGAAAAATGTCAGTGGGGTGTTTTAAACAAAAGCTTGCTTGAACTTTAGTTCAGAGTGCTCTGCTGCCATTTTTCAGTGTGGGATGCTGTTATACATGATGCTCTGGACACTTTTAATTAGCACGGCTCTTGGAGCTGAGTGCCCCCCCACCCCACCCCCATGCCTTCTGGAACATGTGTATAACGTCCTCACTCTCCCGATTTTAAGCCAACCTGAGACAATACTTGGGATTAGTAAAGAATGTTGATAATTCACTGGATTGTGAATTTCGGTACAATTAGCACTAAATCAGGGTCATAGCACTTAGTCTCCTGGGTACCTTAGAAGTGTCTACTTTTTGTTTAATTTGGCTTTTTACATTGAAATCTAAAACTGATAGCTTAGCTGTTTTTGGATCTGAGGGGAGAACTGCCAAATCAAAATCGACCAAGAATTTAAGAAGGAATAAAGGTGGCTTTAAAGAAAACTTACTCTTTTCTAATATTGACTCTGGCCTTCAGGGCTGCTCCATGGTACAGCAGCTGTTGACAAGCTTTGGTAGGCTATTATGCAAATGTTACAATTGCTAAAGTTCAATGCATTTTGTTTATATCCTCTTTTCCTGACCTATTATACCCTATGCCAAGGTGGGGAAACAGGATGGTGTAGATCAGGTACATGGGTTCTTCACTGACAGAAGAACCTGCCCTACCAGGATGGGAATATCCTGCAAAAGTTATCTACAGCTCTATATGTCATTATTGTAATGCGAGAGTTGTTATCGCATAATGTTTCTTTGGGTTGTTTTTTTCTTCGAGTATCTGAAGTACTTTATGATGTGTCCAGATTAAAAGAACACTATACATGTAAGCTGTTATTAACTTAATGTACTAGGATGGTCTAAGATAGCCTACTGATTTGCTTCTTCTTACTCTGCAGAGGGGTGGATAAATTAGGAACATCCTCCTTTGAGCATATCAGTCACAGCCTTTTAGGACGTCCTTTGTCTCAGAAGCTAGCTTGCTTTGTTGTGGGATTGCGCAGTGGAGGTGTCCTGCTCACAGGAGCAAAGGTACATGTTTACAGCTCTTCACTTGCATGCCAAAAAGTTTTTTTCTCAAACTAAATTTAATCTTCTAAATAAGCACAATAAACCCATTTCTTTTCTGTTTCATGGCATCAAAGAGAATAGAGCTGAAAAAGAACTATTTGGTTAGCAGATAAGAGCAGACTGGCAGATTAGTTATTATGTATTTTAATATTTGTGCTGCCTGAGTATGAACTATCTTCAACAATTGAGCTTCTACCACTTTGAAAGACTGTTTTATACTATGATCAGACACTTCAAATGCTTATTAATCTTTTTATTTCTTTCCATTTTTATTTGACTTTTATTGTTTGAATTTAGAAGAAAATTTTTTTTTCTTTAGCACTAGCAAAAATACTACATACATTTGACTCTCATTGATTTTTCTTATTAGATTTTTCTCAGTAGGTGCATAGACATGCACTTTATTGACGAGTAGACTAATTAGCTCTGCAGTAAAGCTTCACAGTCTACATGTGCGGCAGTATTAAGGCACAGTAAATTAATTAACTCTGCCATAAGATAGTACTGTCCCCGAAAGTAGTATCTTATGACTGAATCATAAGTATGATGAAATTCATATGTAGACAGTAACCGCTGGGTGCAAATTGCACCCAGTCAGCCCAAACAGTGGGAGGTCAGAACCCTAGCTCCTGCAGCCCTTCTACCACCCAATGCTGCCACCTGGAGCTCATTGCTGACCCCTGCCAGCCCAAATCTGCCCTGCTATGGCTTAAATTTCATGGTCCCAGGCACTCAAGTAGACACTGCACCTGAGAGCAGTTGACTCCAACTCAAACTGCCCCAGTGTTTATTGCGTCGATTTAATTTCATATGTAGATGTACCCAATGTGATTCATTTAATGTCAGTTGTAATCTAACTGGAATCAATAGGAGCTGTACCAATAACTTCATTCTGAACAAAGCTTAGGTCGTAAGGTGTCTGCTGTTGATGATAAATAAAAATCAGCATATATACAATCAGCCAACTATTTAGTATGTGTATTTGCTATGAATAGTCCAGGAAAACAGAAAGAAATAGTTTCTGTCTCTTTATATTTATTATTTTAGAAGATTTTATCTAACATTTATTTCGTAGGGAACTGGAAAGTCAACATTAGCGAAGGCCATCTGCAAAGAAGCATTTGATAGACTGGATGCTCATGTGGAAGTGATTGACTGTAAAGATTTAAGAGGTCTGAATATGATATTCTTACAATCTCAAACTTAGTGGTTATTATAGGGAAGCTTACAGTGAGCGTATCATTTTAATATTATGTTCAAGACGTATACAATATGATAAAACTTTAATCTAGCTGTGTATTTTAGCTGATTGACTTTTCTGTACAGTATTTTATATTCTTTCTATAAGGGATTTTGTTGCCTTGCAATGAGCACTTTTACAGGTTCATTTCATCGCACAAGTTACAATAAGTTGCATACATTACCATCTCAAAATTTCTTCCCATTTGGTATGAAAAAGAAGGAACAAATAGGGCTTTATGTCTTTTTATATTGAACAGCTGGAACAAAAGTAACAGCATGTAATACTTCTACAGTCGTTCTCGCCTAATAGGAGCAAATATTCTAGATATATAAAAACCTTAGTCTGTCTGTCCATAACGCTTTGTTTGCACTCTGATTGCCTGTCTCGGCATGTGGCAGAGCGCCACCATGATGGTGGGGACAGAGGCGGGGGGCCAGGCCAGCTGTGCCCCCCGCTTTGTGGAGGAGGCGGTGGTGGCAGCAGTGCGAGAGGGCAGTGAATGGGGCGGTGGGGAATGTGGGGGGGAGCAGCCCCGAGCCTGAACCCAAACTGTTGGGGGGGAGCGGGGTTGAGGGGAGGATGGCGGAGCTGGACAACAGGAGTGGATGCACCCTGGGCTCTGTCCCTGCCAGCTCCCCAAGGGGGAGTGGCTCTGGCCCTAAAGCAGCAGGGGTAAGGATGGGGGGGAGCGAGCCTGGCCCTGGGCCTCTGTCCTCCCCCAGCCTCCTCTTCCCCCTCCTCCCCCCAGCCCAGCAGGTGGTGGCAGCGACAGAGTGGACAGCGGAGGGGTGCTGCTCCTGTCCCCCCTGCTCCCTTCAGGCTGCAAAAACAGCATGGCAACATTCCACGGCACACCTGTTCATTTTTGATGGCACACTGGTTGTGAAACACTGCTTTACCTTACTCCATTTTGTATCAGCACCTGAGAGTCTTTGTTGGATGGCCGTGATCTGGCACTTCCTTTTCCAAGGAAAGGCCAAGGTCAGTGTAGGGTTAACATAGGCAGCTCTATTCCAACTGAAGATTCTTCCCATTGAAGAAATTCTTATGAACCCAATTGAAATATGTCCAAGTCTCCTTTCTGTTGCCAGAGCAGACAAAAATCAGTGTTTAAATTTGCATTTTGTCACCATGTCTGTATTTTTATTTTAGGAAGAAGATTAGAAAATATACGGAAAAAAGTGGAGGAAGCTTTTTTAGAGGCAGCATGGCGGCAGCCATCCATTCTTTTAATGGATGATCTTGATCACATTGTTGGTGTTTCTTCTGCTCCAGAACATGAGAACAGCCCTGAAGCAGTTCAGAGCAATAGACTTGCACATGGTAGTACTGTACTAACAGCTTCTGAGTGGCGGTTTTTTTTTCATTTTTTTGTTGTTTGGATAAAAACGTAGTGTAACTTGGGTAACTTTTTGTACTCGAATCATAGTGGCCTTGATAGTTGTGATGTTTTAGCAGCTATATTGTTCACATCTTCAGAGTAGCTGCAACATTTAGCACGCTTCAGCTGAATCTTAAACCAAAGTCATTAACATTGATTATTACATATAAGTAATATTTTTCTTATCTGAATACGTAACCTCTTTATGTGCCTACTTGGTACACTTTATTTTATTTAGCCTCTTGGTCATTATAATATTCACAACTCAGACACTTTAATTGAATAACTGGACTATATATCCATGTGACCCCTGTTTTCAGCCATTAGTAAATCTTTTCACAGATATTTTTCTGCATTGAAAAGGTTTAATATTAAATAATTAGCAACAATGTATTTTAATATTAAACTGTATTAAATTCTGTCCATATAGAGTTGAGTCTGTGAACACAGAGCTTCACTTTTTGTAGCAGAGGGAGATTACAATTTTTATTAGGTGTTTTTTGAAGTTCTAGATTCACACTGAAATTGTATTTAAAAAATGTTCACTTAAATTGCATGTACAGAATTTGTTATTATGTGTAAATTTTCAGTTTTTTAATACTTCATATATACATTTTATACACACAACAGACGGATAGAATTTTAAACCTTTAAACCTATATGATCTACCTTGCATATATACTTTCTTTATTTTTGTCCATGAAATCTCATAGGTTTCTTACTCTCTGTGCTTAAAGATCTATCTTTATAGTTCATGCAGTTAGGGTCACAGCCACTATGGTCTTGGAATTGTGTAAGAAGCACAAGTTTTGGTGATATCTTCTTTTTTTTTTTAATTGAACCAACTGTATAGTTGAGAGAGATGTTAGATAAACTTTCAGGCACAAAGTGCCTTTCCTTTTTTCCAATAAAAGATATCACCAAAGAATCTCTCGCATCTGTACAGTTTATACAGATGCAGCTTCTGGATAGTTTATAAGAGGCGTTCATCCTCTTAGCTTGTCACAAAATACAGTAAAACAAATAATTATATTTATTGTTATATGGCAAGTATATTATTGTTATATAACCTAAGTTATAGATTTAGGATAGTAGCTTTCCGAATCTTAATTCCAGTTAGAGAAGCAGAATTCACAGTAGAGAAAAAAAATCATCTTTATTATCAGAATGTAGATATTATCATTAGTGACTAGCACTGAAAAATAGTGGATCTATATTGGAGTAGACTGTGTTATGAAAAATAAAGATTTCTGAGGTGGGATACTTTATTTTCACTGGACCAGCTGTATAGGTGGTGAAGTTGCTAGGTAAGCTTTTGAGCACACCCTTCTATTTAAATAAGCTTGAAAGCTTATTTAACATCTCTCCCAACTCTAACACAATCTGGGCACATCTACACATCCACTAATGTGCTTTAGTTATTTAATTTATTCTAGTACCTCCACTGTGAGGTACTAGAAAATGCACATTAGCCTATTTTAATGTGCATAAGATAACGAGCATGTTGTTTGTGATGCTTTAATGCACATTAAAATAAGCTAATGCATATTGAAGTGCACTTGTAGACACACCCTCTTGTTTCTTGCATATTCCTTGAACTATCATGGTTCAATGAGTTAGAAAATACTATAATACGTTACAGAAAGGTATTATAGTATTAATTATTATTTAATTTGTTTTAACAATCCTTTCCACTATAAAATGCACAGTATCGATATATGAAATACAGAATATTTTTAATTCATGAAACTGTCTTCTCTACCCAGTTTTGAAAGATGTGATAAAAGAAGTCATTTCAATGGGCAGTTTGATTGCATTAATTGCCACAAGCCAGTCAGAACATTCCCTGCATCCTTCTCTTGTTTCTGCTCAAGGAATTCACGTGTTTCAGTGCTTTAAACATATCCAGCCTCCAAATCAGGCAAGTGCAGTCAATGAATAACTTCGATCAAAATGTTGGTTTTGACTTGCTGCCCCAGATATTAAACAAAAAAAAGAATAGTTTGTGGCTGACAGTTTGCTATTTGATCTTTTATGATGTTAAATACCTTGTAACTCTTCTATATGTTGTCTTGAGGTGCTTTGAAAAGACAGCAAAAGGAATACCTATTTGTGACTGGCTTCCAACCATCCAAATTAATAGATATTTCACTGTAATGTGCACCTCTGAAATTTCTTTTTTGTTATATAATATTTGTAAGGAATGTTATTTTTTTTAACTTTTTTAAATAGGCTGTAATGTAATGGTAAAAAAGAAATAGCAAAAATATATTGAATGCAGTGTTCTCTGCAGGAAATATAATGATTTACGCATAGTTTATCACAGACTATCCCTTACACTTTGGAACTGAATCCACGTTGTTCTCTTTGTTGTCATGTCATAAACCAGTAATTTAAAATAATTGTCTGGACGGCATATTTAATATCCAGTATAACATCTACCTGTATTGCCCAAGTCTTGCATTTCAAATCTCTGATTTACAGCAGAAGATAGGATTTCATGGGAAACATCATGTTGCATGAGAATATAACGTTCAACAGTTGTTATGACAACATAATGTTAGATAGCCATTCTTGACCAGAGTGCTCTGAAATGCTTTTAAGGTTTCAGTGCAATATTAGCACTTTCTTAAAAGTAAACATGTTCAGTTTGTTATATTAGACTTGTGCCTAGTGGACAAAAAGCCCTATGTTGAATAACATTATGGTCACATATCTGAGACATTTGTGCCCTCCTTGAGTGATAAATCCATGCAAGTGTAGAACTGCACATA